CAATCTGTCACTGTCATCTCTGTCACAGCAATGTACTAACTCCTCTCAGCGCTCATCTTTCCTCGCTCTGTACCATATGGTGGGTGTATACAGTGTGTCGGCTTCCTGCAGCCTGAGGAACCATCATTAGATACATAACACATGTCAGGGGATTGTAATCACAGTGTTTTCTATCTGCTGAGGGGACCATGTTTAGTTGTGGAACTACAAGACCCAGCATACTGCTTGAGCTCTGACTTGGCCACACATCCACAACCTGGTGGCCAGAGGTTATTTAAAGAACTACTCTGGGAAGATCTGGCCTCTGTGGCTTCCGGAGATTGTTTACATCCAGCTCTCAGGAGACGGAGGTAGGTGAGCCCATAGAAGTCTATGGAACTCGCCTACTTCTGTCTCTTGGCCGGGAGACAAGTCCCATAGACTTCGATGGGACTCACCTACCTCCGTCTCCTGGCTAGGAGACCAGGCCTATAGACTACTATGGGACTGGCCTACATCTGTCTCCTGGCTAGGAGACCAGTCCCATATACTTATATGGACTCACCTACCTTTGCCTGCTGGCCAGAAGACAAGTCTCTTAGACTTCTGTGGGCTCCCCTACCTCTGTTTTCTGGCTGGGATGTTTAGTTGTGGAACTACAAGACCCAGCATACTGCTTGAGCTCTGACTTGGCCACACATCCACAACCTGGTGGCCAGAGGTTATTTAAAGAACTACTCTGGGAAGATCTGGCCTCTGTGGCTTCCGGAGATTGTTTACATCCAGCTCTCAGGAGACGGAGGTAGGTGAGCCCATAGAAGTCTATGGAACTCGCCTACTTCCGTCTCTTGGCCGTGAGACAAGTCCCATAGACTTCTACGGGACTCACCTACCTCCGTCTCCTAGCTAGAAGACAAGTCCCATAGACTTCCATGGGACTTACCTACCTCTGTCTCCTGGCCGGTAGAAGGGTCCCATAGACATCTATGGGGCTCACCTACCTCTGTCTCCTGGCTAGGAGAAAAGTCCCATAGACATCTATGGGACTCGCCTATCTCTGTCTCCTGGCCAGGCTCTGCTGTGCAGGTGCTGCAGGCATTTAGATCGGCGCAGGATGTAAATAATCCTTGGAGGTTACAGATACCAGATCTTGGTAAGTGTCTGCGGAGAGGGAGGCATAAAGAATAACTGTACTTTCTATGAAATGGTTCTTGTTCTTTAAAGGACAACTCCACTTTTATTAAAAATAATAAAGCATATACAACTGATACACAATCTATTTTGTAATGCTATTATGATCTATTCCCATCTGCAGGCATTGTAATTTTCTGAATCTGTCCAGAAATTCAATGCACTACGGCAACTGGGAGGCGTTATCTACACCGCTGGGGTACAGAATGCCTCTAGAAATGCCATTTTCTGTTCCTGGTTCACTGGTTTTCTTGGAAGTCTACACAGCAAGAGGAATTTCAATTTCTGGGGAGATTCTCACTGAGGCTTTTGTACTTCTAAAGGTGGCCATACACCTTACGACCATCGCATGACTTTCGTTGTGCGATGGTTGTACTTGCGTACTTGCGATCATCGCCTTATAATTATCGTACGATCGCGGGATCACCCGCGATTATCGTACGATACTCGTCAGGTGTATGGGCAGCTTAAAGGGATCCAAACACTGTAGCTTTCTTCATTAGTACACTGAGATCTGCACAGGTGAGTATAATGAAATCTGACTCTAACATTCAGGAATCATCTGGAAAGACTAGGTGGCACAAACAGCTTTATAGAGCAGAGAAAGGCAGGAATTTTCAACAAAGTTTTTTTTATAATCCTTAAAAATGTTTATAGATCACCCAGAGGAGTTAGTGCTCATTCACACCATGTGTGTCAACACTCAGGCTCACAACAAGGCACATGGAAAATTATTATTAGAAATCAATATTCACACAATTTACAGGAATTGTAAAAATGAACCCTTGCAGTGGGGCTATTCCTGCACTTTAAGGGTTAACTGGTCGTTTTTCTCTAGGGGCTAAAATAAAGAAGATACACTCCCCTGATCCTCGGTCTGGTGGTGGTCAGCACTCACTCTCCCCCTCCCCTCCGGCCGTAAAAGGTCCCTTGGTGTTCTCATGTCTTGCATGAGATGTGATGATGTCACAGGTGCTTAGAGGAGCGGAGGGGGAGAAGAGGCTGCAGGGACCGGTCTGGTAGCCTGACAGGATCGAAGCTTTAGTGAGTGTATCTTCTTTATTTTAGCCCTAGACCAGTGGTAGGCAAACTCCTGTGGCAGTCAGAATCTTGCAATGCCTCATGGGATTTGTAGTTCCACCACAGCTGGAGGACCGGAGTTTGGCTACCCCTGCCCTAGACCAAAACGAGCACATAAAGGGTTTCTAAACCCTCACGTTTTTTTGCATATATCTACTACATATATATCGCATGAAGACACCGTGGGACAGGAAGTGCCAGCAAGGGCAGAGGAGTCAGCGCTGGATCGGAGACCTGCAGCAGCGCTGGAGAGAAGGCTGAGAAGGACAGGAAAGAAGAAGAAGAGGATCGGGTTAAGAGACATAATTTAAGGTATGTGCTGACATTAACATTGGGGGGAGGGAAAAAAGTTTTTGACTTTAAAGTCACTTTAACCCTTGCAGTGCAGGAGTAGCCCCACTGCAAGGGTTAATTTTTACAGATCCTTGAGTTCCCCTTTAACCTGTATGTTATTTTGCATTGCCCATTAATCTTGAGTGATCTGCCATTGCATATAAACTGATCAAAAAATTCGAGTGATGCTATCACCTGGTTCAACAAGAGTCACTTTCAACATTGAAAGTCAGGTGAAGAATTGGCAGCTGAACAGTGACTGCATCATATCAGATGCAGTCCGTGTTCAGGTATTCTGACAGCTGCAGGTGCTGTTTAAACATAATAGTTGACAGTGGAGATTTCTCCATCCACAGTGTTTAGCGTGGATTGAGGAATCAAGTGGTTTCTCTTGTTCAGTCTGCGTAGTCTGACATAGATTAGCATGCCGGATGGGAGTTCAGACTTCTCTGGCTACATGGTAAGTTGTTCACTAGGTATTGAAGCCAGGATATGGACCCAGGACAGGGGGACGGCAGCCCAGGATAGGGACGATGGCTCAGAATATAAATGACAGCTCAGGATATGAATGACGGCTCAGAATATAAATGACAACTGAGGGTATGGAGGATGGCTCAGGATATGGACGGCGGCTCACAAGCCACCCTATGTCAATAAAGGGCACAGTTTTAATGTAGGGGTCGGCTGTCGGAACTTTCTTCGGTTTCTGAACAGATTTGTTGGGAAGCTGGCTCGCGTCAGTGGACATTGTTAAAGCATAACCATGTTTCATGAGAAAGGGTTGACCATTATGTGCTCATCATACAATTATAGTAACAGGGTTAATGTGTGATAAGTATTTACAGAGCCCAGATCATGATTACATGATTTTACAATTTTCACATTGCTTTTCCCTGAACATTTGAATGAACAGTGTAGTTAAGACTTGTTCTCATGTCTGGTTTCCTGGGTTGTAATGAATCAGGTTTATTGCAGGAGAAGGGAAAATAAAGCAATTCATTTGTATGTGGTCATTTCGCAATACAATATCGTGGTGATGCACTGAATTAGAGGCATTGGCCTGAACGCATTTCATGTTATTGGTGGTATAGAGAAGAAATGGTAACATGTAAAACTGCTTGTGGTTTGACTGTACTTAATTCAGAATTATTTACTTGCTGATCGTAGTTTTCACTGGTATATCTGATAATTTGCCATGGATAAGCAGCTTTGTATAATGTATGTTATTATTACATTGTCTGCTGTATTTAGGAGAGAAGCGACAAGCGACATGATGTCTTTTCAGATCCCTTGGCCCTCTACTGATCACACAAGGGCCCTTCTTGTTGTTTACTGGCTGCTTTTCCTTTTGTTGTCATTCCATTGCCTGGAAACCTTAAAGAACTCCAGCCAGTTGCATGAATGAATCTATCACACCCTAGCAACCTCTGCTGAAGGATCAGCTAACTGCAGGAATACAAATGTTAATCTGCTGCTCCACGTTACAAAACATTTCTTACCTCAAACCGCCTTTCTCACACAGTATTGATAGTGTTGTATACTCCATTTCATTTATTAACATTAGATGGTTGCTGCAATCAGATTTGTTTTCTTATTGGTGAATTCTATTTATGATTTATGAAGCCATCACGCTCTCAAACAATTCATTCCCACACAGCTACCTCCTCATGTATCACCGGCCCTTTTAGATTGTAAGCTCTCACGGGCAGGGCCATGGCTTACCATCTTGTCCTGAATTCTGTTGTGATTGTAATGTCTTCCTTATATTGTAAAGCGCTGCGCAAACTGTTGGTGCTATGTAAATCCTGTATAATAATAATAATGTTTTGACCTTATATCAGCAAAGTGAACATTGTTTTTTTTAAGTGCCCATTGTCAGGCTTCCTCAACCACCTGACATTGCTAATGGCCATTGCAAGAGATGCTTGTTATGAATAAGATAAATTGAAATACAATATTTTAACAGTTTGTGAAGCTTTACTGTGTGTAACTTAAAGGAGAACTATGAGGTGATTGCTTTTCACTCACCTCATAGTTCTAGCCGACCTGTGACAATGAGACTGTCACAGGTCGGCTCAGTGGATCGGGAGGTGAGCGAACACATAGCGGCGTTCGCTCACCTCTCGATCCTGTCACAGCTCTCTGCCGTGGCAGGGGGCTGGATTCCCCACTCCCCGCACCGATCCGCCAGCGCTGACTGGCGGAATGGACGGGGGAGGGGGCGGGTACATCCGGCTCTGCCTCTAGATAGGCGGAGCCAGCTGTCACTCACGCAGCTGGGCGGATCCAGACATCGATGTCGGGATCCGCTCCGGCGTCTCAGTATACCGCGAGCTGTAGCTCGCGGTATACTGAGCCTAGGGTGACGGGAGGACGCTGGTTTGTGTCCTCCCGTTACCCTAAGGAGAACTATGGGGAAAAGCCCTGACCCCATAGTTCTCCTTTTAACCTTTCTGTACTGAATGTAGAGGTAGAAAAAAAACTTAATTCTTATTCTTACATGTACCTTTTTTGCGACATGCGATTGCACAGGCAGAAATCGCAGTGGGAAACCGCTTGATCCGCCCGGCGCGACTGATTTTGAAATATCCAATAGCCGGTTGGCTATCGCTTCCCATTGATCACATTCTGCTGTTGACTGCGGAATCTAGCCGCCAACCAGCAGCAAGATGTAAACAAAGAATTTTGTCTGTTTTATTTTTGACAAGCAAGGGATGTCATTCACACAGCACTGGTGCCCCTAGAATGGCGCTGACGAGTATAGGGAATTCCTCATCTACGGGAGCTAGTGCTGTGTGAACAGCAACTTCTATAAACAAACCTCTAAGTAGGTGAAGCAAGACAGTAATTTAGTTTATATGGTTTTTTTCTGATAAATATCTTGTTTACTTTATTAGAAATATCTCTGGAATGGGGGACGATTTGGATCATTTTATTGAAGAGCAGAGGACAAAGCTTGCACAAGATAAAGCAGCAATGGAAAAGGATCCACCATACATGGAAATCAGGGTAAAGAAATTACACTTCTAATGTCTTTGTTGTGTTGCAAGGATTTCTTCTTCAGTCTAAGGAGGATTTATGGGTTTCTGAAATGGATTTCCTTTGAGATATAAATTCTATACTTCATCTGATATTACTGATATGGTAGATAAAAAAACCTGAAAGGTAGAGATGAGTGCTGCGTGCCTCTAAGCTAGATTTAGGTGTGAATGTCCCGTCTTTTGGGTCATGGAAGAAGTAGGTGCGCCATGATCATTTATGATCGGATTGATGGGCAAAGTGTACACAGATTTGGGCTCTAAAGGTTGTGAATGTGGAAGTGTTAGAACAGATGTCAGGTTTTCATTGTCATCTGTGTGCCAGCTGGAGAGATTCACTTTCTCTGTGTGTCTTGGTGAACATTGTCACTGGACAGAAAATGATGAGAAATCAAAAATTCTACAGTTGTCACCAGAACAGGAGGTGAGGGGAAACCTTTCAGAGAGGTGCAACTAGTCACCATGGGGATCCCACTTTGGAGAAATGTCCTTTTACTTCCTGTGTCTAGAATACAAATTGAAGGTAAAGGATACAGACAGAAAAAAGTTATTAGGGTTGGATCATTGCCAACACTAGCCAAAACCTTTACAATTTTTTAAGTCGTTCGGAGGTATAGTGCAGTGGTTCTAGTTACATTTAGATGGTTTGTCAATATCAGAACAGTGCTTTTCATGAATATAATTATATTTGAATTCTACCAGCCACACAAATTTCATTTTATACATGGGAAAGTATGGGTGTATGTGGTGTGGCTGTATGTGGTGTTCAAGATTGCTCAATCAAAACTACAGAAAAAGAATACACATTTATTTTAATTGTGTTTATTAACCAATTATAAATGTATTTTATATACAATGAACTAGCAATCTTTATTAGTATTGTTCTTGCTTGTAAGTGTATTAACAACATTGCTTTGTGTACCTTGTGTAAGGCAGCAATGAACACAGTGAATGTAAATTGCACAGCAGGATTGTGACACTTATTTGTTTGAGGGATAATCATCTAGTGTTATAACAGACTCATGGAAACATTTTGTTATGGGCAAAAATGATCCATATGTTTTGTTTTCAAGACAGAGTGTGCTATTGTGTGCTTATTTACATGTGCTATCCTTCCAAGATATGGTATGTTGTCACACATTTCATATTTTTCCTGCATTGTTCCTTTCTGTCCTGCCCTCTGCTCTCTCTTTTGCTTGTGTTTTATCAGTATATGGCTTTGTTCTTGTTGGTATCATTTTGCTGAAAACTAGATTAGATTTACAAATAAAAAACTGAAATCTGAGATAAATATATGTCTTTAAAGGAACTAGTGGATTAAAGGAACTAGTGGAAAAGCTAAGTTTACCTTTATGACCATGTTTTTAGTCCCAGTTCACACCAAGGTGTTTTGTCCTCACTGAAATGCACAAGACAAGAAATCCCAATTATTTCTATAGCTCCCGTTTACACCTGAACATAGCTTTTTGCGTAGAAAAACGCATGCCGCTGGAAAAAGTAAATTTTTTTTGGCAGATGAGAGCGATTTGTCCCCATAGAGTCAATAGGAAATGCTTGGAAACACGTGACAGAATTATTTTGCGCACGTTTAATGCGTTCCACATTTAAAACAATATGTCACAAACTGCTCAAAAAAACCGCATGACTTAATATATGCATGGAAACGTGTCCAAAAAGGTGCAAAATCGTACAGCAAGGATCCGTGTAGATAAGCGCAAAAACGCTGTAGTGTAAGTATGAACGTGGCTTTTTGTTAAACCTGTATTCAGGGAGGAACTGTATCTGTATTCAGATCGCAAATCCCTATTCAGCCCCTCCAACTTACCTGAATCGTGGGGTTCTTCTCCCCACAGGCTTCTGTACATGTTTTAATTTGTCGCAGATGTGAGTGGCTCTTCCCACACAGCCGCATTATCCATTCACAGATCACAGATTTGACAGGATCTGCGAATGGAGAAACTTCAAGTCCCATCAGCCACCGTGGCAGAGAGACTTGTATTTCTCAATGGAATACATGTGCCATGTCGCACTGCACTTGCAGTCCATTCATTCTTCCTCCCATCCATGTTACTAAATAACAGTAACAGCAATAGTACCCTGGTCGGAACATGGACAGGAGGAAGAGTCTGTAGGAGATCCATGATCCACTGATCGTAGTTGCAATGCTTTACTGGCTCCTATGCAAAAGAATATGATACATTCAGATTTTTTCTTTTCTGAAGAAGTGTGCATTTATTTTTATTTTTTCAAAAAGGTTGAATTTCCCTCTGAAGCCTGCAGGAGACCTCTTGTGTGACAGTCCAATCAGGGTCAAAATCCAGTAGTCAGTAAAGTAGAACACAAATATAGGATAGAACTCAGTTAGATGAGTATACACAAAGTAGGGTTTAAAAGGGCAAGTTGGTCTTAGGACATGGCAGAATAATTAATAGGATACACTTAATCGGAATATATAAAATATTGTAGGGGAAATTTAGAAATAAGAATCGCATTTAGGCTCTCCACATAGGTTAAAAGGAAGTTAGGCGGGGGGAGAGGGAATATCGGGGTAAATAATTTATAAAGAGAAGCACATATATAGAGGAGAGCACGCACAGTAGGTGGAATTTATGATGATAAAGTACAAGAGGACAAGTTGGTCATAAGACATGGGGGGGTATTAATAAGGAACGGGGATATGGGAAATCACAGCGCCTTTATCTCCCCCTCTTCCCCCAGACAGAGGTTGTGTTAATAGATAATGGGAGAGAGTGTATAAATGAAGAAATGGAGAATAATCAGGTTATGTGAGATAAAATAAAAATGTCCATAGCTTTGCTGATTGTAAAGCAATGCAGAAACCTATAAATGTAGAGTTATATAACTATGTGATACTTGTGACAAAGCAATGTTGAATGTTTATACCTGAAGATATGTATCTGTGTATGTATATGGGGTTTTTTTTAACGTAAATTTGAAATAAAATATATTATACCAAAAATCCAGTAGTCAGGTGATGCACAAGCTTCATAAAGTAAGAAGAAAAAAAAACTTCCTTTACCTCCCCATATTCAAATCCTTCTTCATTTGTGCTTCACAAACATCTGTCCCTCCTAGACACTGATGTTCATAGTAGAAGGGAATCAGTAGCAGAGGCAGTGCTGTCAATCCAGAAAGCAGTGGGCGGGACTAGGTGTGGCAAGGTGCTGATTGACAGGCTTGTAAACTGTCAGTGATAATACACACCCTCTGCAGTGTTTTTTCTTCTCACTGTAGTGTAAGAAGACCGCATACATGAGTGACAATGCTGCTCTGAATTCAAGAGCAGTGCAACAGCACTGTCACCTCATCACAGGAAGCTGCATGTAGCAGACTTCACTATCAGAATCAACAGGTATTTGTGAGGCTCAACTTGGGGACTTTGGGAAAACTGGAAGTGCAGATGCACTTACAATTGAGTACTGCATCCCGTTTTATTTTTGTTAATGGGAGGCTAAAGTTCTATTTTAGCAGTAGAGAAATGTAAAGTAGAATTTAAATAAGCATCACACTATTTTGTTCTGTTTTGTATTTGTTGGTCTTTTCTTTTTCTGTAATCACAAAGAAGTGAAACATTTAAGAATTATGTTCTTAAAATCTTCCAGGATTTTAAAAACATCTGCAGTGTAAATGTAAGTTAGGTGAGATGTCCGTCACTTTATATGTGCTTGTTTTTATTGTAATATTTGCACAATTTGATTGCTGAATCCGAGGAAGGATGAAGATGCCCCAAACTCTTGTACGTTACATGAAAATGAGCTGAGAAATAAAGAACTAAGAAGCAATGAAAAAGAAGGCTGTGTGGAGATTTTTTTTGTCATATTTACACATTCATTCAGGCCAGGTAGTATACTCTCAGTAGACATCTGGTGCTGCGACTGAAGGGCTGTGGCTCTCATATACTGAAGCTGCACTGTTGTTTGTCTGCCCTTCCTTTCCCCTTGCCCACTCACAGAAGGTTTTGTATTCTGTAAACCCTTTCAAAAAATACAAAGAATTCTGTGAATGGGAAAGGGGAGAGAGGGACGTACAAACAACACTGCAAGTTCCGTGTATGAGGGCCGCAGCTGTCATAGCCACTCTTCGCTTCTGCCGGAATGAATGTGTGAATATTTCAGAATGTAAAAACACATTTAGAGGTCTATTTATAAACAATTTGCAGAGCCATTCACCCTACAACTCTTTCTGAATGTTTGTTCATGTTTGTCATCTGACCTCCAACGGAAATAAAGTTGCCCATAGCACTCCTCAATCATGTTCCCTTTGTAACCTTAGAATGAAATTATAGCTGGAACTGGTATCTGTGTATATAAATTCTACACATTTGTTTGTATGTTTCAGAGCAAGAGACTGGAGAATACACGTGATGCAGATAGACCAAGGGCCTACACTTTAAAAGAAAACATTCCCCCAGATAGACATCCTCAGAAAGAGACTGCTCAAGTAATACAGTCAGAAGGTATGATCCGGAATGCTTGTGTAGCCTCAGTAAAGGTTGTGTTGTCATATGTAATATTTCTAAATCCTCTTTCTCTAGCATCTAGTTTAGTACTTCTTTTGATTGATCCAGTCCCAAGTTCTCTCTGCATAAGCCAGCTGATATGTTGTCAGGTTTCCAAAAACCAGTAAAACAAAGTAATAGCTAAATGGTGCATATGATGCAGAACGTGAGAATTGTCTTTTTTACAGAAGTTGGTGGACAAATGACCATGAGTGAATGTGTAAACCACAAATCCACAATTAAGCAGCCTTTGAGGAAGGTGCCTTTGTTGCTGGCTGCTGTCCCTTGCAACCATGACACTTGGAGACTCCGGTGGGACTACAAACCTTTGTAAGGTTGAATCAGTCCATGTAAAGACAGCCGGAACTGCACATGGTGATTTCTTTTGGTGTTGTTCTTCTAGATGTCAGCTATGGATTGAGTTTGCCTCTTGGAGAAGACTATGAGAGGAAAAAGCATAAACTGAAGGAAGAATTACGCCAGGATTATCGAAGATACCTCACTAAGGTGAGAGTTCTGAATGGGAAAAATAACTTGGCTTTGGGACTCCATGACCCTACTGAATGATATAGTTTAACATTATTTTGCTCATTGTTGTGATGTAAATAAACAGAATTGAAAATAACCGTCATGTTTTTAAATAAGTATCCCTATCCTGGCGTGTTACCTTTGTGAATGAAACCTATTTGGTTTTACTGTAATACATTTTTTTTTCATACAAATAGTTTATAATTACACATGCATGTGGGGGCATCCATACTTGCTCATTACATATACAGACTGCTCCTAATACATTGTTATAGTGCACAGTAGTTGTGTGAGCCCTTTTTTTTCACAGTTCAGTCCATGGGTCATGTTTGAGTCACTGAAAAGTATTACAGTTCGTGTGGCTGATCACACAGTTGTTAAACAGTCAGAGTGATTACAGTGGCTAACCTACAAATCTGTATATTTAATACAATAATGGAAAAATTAGACAGTTGGCATGACTTAATTAAAGAGACTCTGTCGCCAGACCATTAATTTCAACAAAATTCTCTCCATAAGATTATTTGTGCATTTACTGCATTTTAGGAATGCTCATTACCTGTAAAATATTTCCTTGTGTAATGTAGATGTCCAAAAGCCCCGAGATTGCCTTGGTGCCACTGCCTTGGATGTGAAGTCAGCAGAATCAGAGCTGTCATTTAAGTGACAGTATAGTGTAGTATTCGTCTTCATCCCCCCCTTGGCAGCTATGTATAAGGATATGTAGGGAGGTAAGAGGAGTGGCAGAGAAGCTGGGTCAGCACAGAGAGTAATTGGACAATCCCAGAACAAGAGAAGTCTATGCCATGCAAAGAGGGGCAGGAGGGGGCTTTGATAGGGAATTGACTTCCTGCAATAGTCACACAGTCTAGTAAGTACAAAGGCCCACGTACAAGTGAATACGAATGAGGTATGGAAGGAAAAACACTGCAAGAAAGCATTTCAAGTACTTGATTTTTCTGTGCTTTTATCTTCAATTTTTTAAGTTGGTGACATGTTCACTTTAATGACAATAGAGAGTATACTGTACTTTCAGTGAGGATACACTCTCTTTAAAATGTAATAAATATATTTTGAAGGTGTTTTCTCCAGGACTATCATCCTTACTTGTGCTTTACTACTTAGTGGGCCATTGACTCATTGTCCTTCTCAGGTGTCCCAGCATCTAATATAGACATGCTTGTTCCAGGACAGTGCCAGTCAAGGAAGGCTAAAGATGACAGACCTGTAGCTAGAAACTTCAAAGAAATAATTGTCTGCATCAGTCATACAGTACAACACAAACGGGAACAGAAAATGTATTTGTAATTGATGGAATAATGTTGTACAGCCACTTAAATTACAACTCCAATTCCAAAAAAGTTGGGACGCTGTGTAAAATCTACATAAAAACAGAATGCAATGATTTGCAAATCTCATAAACCTGTATTGTATTCACAATACAAATATAGAAAGCACATCAAATGTACCTTTAAAAAAAAAAAAAAAGGTATTTTTGAAATTGATGGCAGCAACAGTTCTCAAAAACGCTGGGACAGGGCAACAAAAAGCTGGGCAGAGGTTCACCAATCTGTGAAAAGCTGCATCTAAAAATTGTCGAACAATTTCAGAATAATGTTACTCAACGTAAAATGGCAAAGACTTTAAATATATTATCATCTACAGTACATAATGTCTTTTAAAAGATTCCGAGAATCTGGAGAAATTTCTGTGCACAAGGGACAAGGCCAAAACGCAATATTGGATGCCTGTGATCTTCAGGCCCTCGGAAAGCACTACATTAAAAACATGATTCTGTGATGGACATCACTGCATGGGCTCAGGAATACTTCCGAAAATCACTTTCTGTGGACACAGTTCAGCGTGCCTTTCAAAAATGCAAGTTAAAGCTCTATCATGCAAAGAAGAAGCCATATCTGAACATGATCTAGAAACACCGCCATCTTCTCTGGGCCAAAGCTGATTTAAAATGGTCTGTTGCAAAGTGGAAAACTGTTCTGTGGTCAGACAAATCAAAATTTGAAAATTGTTTTTGGCAACCATGGGCGCCTCCATTCTATAGACTAAAGAGGAGAGGGACCTTATGGCTTGTTATCAGCGCTCAGTTCAAAAGCCTGCATCTCTTATGGTATGGGGGTGCATTAGTGGGTATGGAATTGGTAGCTTGCACATCTGGAAGGGCACCATCAATGCTGAAAGATATATCCAGGTTTTAGAGCAGCATATGGTCCCATCCAGATGACAATTTTTTCAGGGAAGGCCTTTTATATTTCAGCAGGACAATGCTAAACCACATACTGCATCTATGGCAACAGCATGGCTTCATAGTAGAAAAATCCGGGTGCTTAACTGGCCTCTGTCTGCAGTCCAGACCTTTCACCAATTACAAATATTTGGCACATCTTGAAATGAAAAATACAACAAAGAAGTCCCAGGATTGTTGTTCACTTAGAATCCTATATCAGGCAAGAATGGGACAACATTCCTCTCCCAAAACCCCATAAACCTTCAGTTCCCAGACATTTACAGAGTTGTTAAAAGAAGAGGTGATGCAACACTGTGATAAATTTGGCCCTGTCCCAACTTTTTTGAGGCGTGTTGCTGCCATCAATTTCAAAAGTACCTTTATTTTTTTTCATTTGTACATTTTCTCAGTTTATACATTTGATGTTTTCTATTTTCTATTGTGAATAAAATATTGGTTTATGAGATTTACAAATCATTGCATTCTGTTTTCATGTAGATTTTACACAGCGTCCCAACTGTTTTGGAATTGGGTTTGTACATCTGTTATTTTCTCATTTAGGTTAGAAAATGATTGAATACCCCATTGATTGATAGTCACCGATGTTCTAATAATGAATTCCCACTGTGTACATATGTTGCAGTAACACAGACATTATCTTGTAATAGTGTAATGTATTTTCCTGACTTCCAGGGAAATGCTCAGGCCAAAAGAAAGGTAGGAGGCCTGTGTTCTGTTTTGCCCACCGCTGTATGTAAGTCTGAACACTACTGCTTGTGTGGATGGGCTATTCAGAGTCTTGTATTGTTCCGCTAACCATTCCATCATCGGTAGAATCGCTCTTTATTTTATTTAGTTTGCTTTGCTTGGCTGTCTGGCTTAGAAATGACACAAATGTCTTTACATTTCTAGCTGACCTTTTTAGTTGTATGCAAGAAATGAGCCCAGCTGCTTATATGTTCTCTACCACACATTCATAATGTGCATCCTGCTTCTGATCATTATTTGCATTTGTGCTCACCAGTATGTGTAATTAGTGGCAATGATATGTCTTTTAGCTGCATGAAGAAATCAGTGCACTGCTTGCCTGCTTGCACAGCATTATGATTACTGAGCAATGTATTGTTTGCTGGGAGTATTGAGGGATGGTTCACACTATAGCATTGTGTTAAAGGTATGGTACCCATGCCTTTAGCATATGGTATCTCAGAGCGCAATGCACCACACCCTAGGTGCACTGTATTGCTATTCATTCTGGATGGTACCCCAATGTACCTCCTGGCAGGTGTAGGTTGTGCTGCACCCCAATGTACCTCCTGGCAGGTGTAGGTTGTGCTGCAGCGCATGGTACCCCAATAGAGTGTGTTGCCTTGCCCTGCAGTGAAAAAAAAGCAGCACACAATTTTGCACTGTTGTGATACCATGCATTGCTGCCAGGAGGTGCGTTGGCATGCCATTCAGAATGAATGGCAATGCAACACACCAGCACACCCAGCATGTAGTGCATTGGGCTTTGATAGCATGCACGCAACACTATAGTGTGAACTGGTCCTTACTTTTTATTGGCTTTAAAGGGTTTGTCCACCCAAACCTTTTTTTTTTCTTTTCTTTTTTTGGGGGGGTTTTACAATGCTGGACTGCTTTTTATATCTTGGCATTGGGTTATTCAACCACTCATCATCTGCCCTTTACTGAAATATCAGCTTTTATGTGACCCTTTCATTGCTAAGGATTGAACTTCAATACATATATATATATGTAATATATACATATATATATATGTAATATATATTATTCTTCTTGATGTTTTGATAAATACTGTATGTACTTGTTTTCCCTGCTACCGTAACAGTGCTTGAACTGATGATTTGGTAATTAAAAACTAGAAATTTTGTACCAGGTTTAAAAGAGAACTGATATGCAGCTTTACCCTAATACAAGTATAATAGATGACTGCTAATATCATTGTATTTTATTGGTATTGCACAGACATGGACATAATCTTCTAGGATGGAGGAGCCATTCAGTCAAAGCTAGGTTCCATTGAGACCTTTTGGAAGACGAGCATCATGAAAATGCTTAGCCGAAAGGATACATTTGTAGGCCGGCTAGTCCCCCTGAAATGCTATCATCCTTGTAAATGGTACAGAAATGACTAATAATGGTCACTGATTATGTAATCATTAGGAACATATTTCATAAAGAAGATAATAAACATTATTTGGTGGGTTAATTATACAATTACACTAGACAGGGCAATTCAATTCAGCAATCATCTTTTAAAGCCAACGTGTTGCTAACGTGACGGTTTCTTAAACAGGTGAACCTACAAAGAAGAGATGGATTAATCATCTGTCTGTCACCCACGCTGCCAATCATTGTTGTGTTAAAAAGAAAGGTCACCTAAAAAATACTCAGAAAGGTACACAGCTAGGAATTTCCATTTCCAGGTCCCTCGGCTGTGCTATGTGGTTCAATGCACTGACCTCTGCATCACTGCAGGACACAGTGGTGATGTAGGGGTCAGCTGATCCAACCACAGCGGGGGACCTGGAAGGCAACCCTTGTGGAAGTGTCTGTTTCTGAAAAGTCTTTAGGTAGTGGTTTCTTTTCAAAATAGCCGCATCAGGCAGTGCAGGATAGGTGAATATTCCAATGTCTTCTTTGCAGGGTAACTACAGAGCAACACAAAAAAATTAAATGTCTGTCCTGCCCGCATATGCAGAATATAATGCTTGATTTGTTTAGTGCGGGATTTAATATAGAGGATTACTCACCTTAATCCACAGTCCTGTAGTCTTCCTCACTGCTGATTCTCATTGTAACAACTGGTTCCCTGAAGCCTCTCTTCCTGTTGGTCTCTGACCAGTCATTTTACCGTCCCACTTGTCAAATCCATCATGTGCAATGCAGGACCAGCAGTCGCCACTGGTCCTGCATTGTATATAATGCCATTAAGGGCACACCTACCTCCTGATGCTGGACAGTAGAGGTGCTGTGTGCAATGGGACACATTTAATTTTTTGAGCCAGTCTGGAGTTCCACTTCAAAGTGAAATTCCACTTTATTGATATAAAAAATTACCCAGCAAACCCTTCCTGCCCATATACGACACAAGGATTTTCCCAACCATTATTGCAGATTTTTATTTGCTCCGGAGATTCATGATACGTAGGGTTATGTTGCTGCCACTAGGAGAAATAGACACTAGGCAATCAAAAAATAAAAAGCCTGTCACTTTTTCTCTCCCGTTCATTGAAGGACACAGGGCAACAGATCCTGAATAGTAGGGTATGTTGCCACCTGCAGGAGTAGGATGCTAGGCACATAACAAAAAGACAAGACAGCCTAGGGGTGGCCCCTGCTGGTGGCCCAACCCCTCACTTGCTGACAAGTCTCCAGTTTTTTGCCTATGTGGTTATTCAGGCGTACGCCCTTAAGGGGCGTGAGCCTCCTTTCCCTGTCACTGCCCCTTCTACTAGGGCTGTTGGGGCTTCCTGGGCCTTTCGCCATGGGGCCTCTGTTTCTCAGTTTGTAAGGCCGCTACTCGGTCTTCTGTTCACACCTTTGTTAAGTTTTACTTAACAAAGTTTACGTTTTTTTAAGGTGGACATGTTAGCATCGGCGGATGCTGGTTTGAGGCGCAAAGTGTTGCAGGCGGCGCTTTGAGGGGTCCTTTGGGTGTTTTTGTTGTTGTTGCCCATCCCTCAGTATGTTAGTGCTTGGTGACGTCCCTACCATTCAGGATCTACGATCTGTTGCCCTGTGTCCTTCAATGAATGGAGAGAAAAGGATTTTACGGTGAGTACAAAAATCCTATTTTTGTCTGTCCTTTTTCAATGTCATCTGGCTACTAATTCCTTGATTGACACTTTTATTTAGGGAGTTACATGTTTTGTTTCTCCTGTTAGTATTCTTCAAGCACCAACCTTTCAACAAGGTCTGTACGCTGTATGGGGTGCAGGTGATTTCGTATTATCGGTTTCTCCTGTTAGGTCTCCTCTTCCACCGTAGGATTGGAACGTGGCTTGTGTTCTGTTCTACAAAAACCTCCTTTTGAACCTATACGAGACATTTCTTTGTCTTTGTTAACCAAACAGGTTGCCATTTTTGTGGCCCTTACCTCAGCTAGAAGGGTTTACGAGTTCTCTTCCTTGTCGTGTAGAGAACCCAATTTGATTCTTCATAAGGACAAGGTAGCTTTAAGATCGAAGGTTTCTGTTTGAACCAAGGTTGTTTCAACATTTCATTGAAATGAAGACATTGTGTCACCTTCACTTTGTCCAGCTTCTGGTTATACTAAGGAAATTTCTCTTCATTGTTTGGATGTTGTCTGGGTCAGCCACAGCTTCTTTTCGATGGTCAGACTTTGTTTGTTCTTCCATAAGGTCATAGAAAAGGCTGTTCAGCTTTCAGATGCACTATTTTTGAGTGGATAAGTTTCTGCTTATTCTAATAGGGCAGTTGGTACTTCCTGGGCATTTCAAAATCAAGCTTCTGTTTCTCAAATTTGCAAGGCTGCAACTTGGTCTTCTGTTTACACTGTGCAAAGTTTTATAAAGTTGATGTTTCTTCGTCTTCTGATGCTAGTTTTGGCAGATAGGTTCTTCAAGAATCTGTGTAAAGGTATTTTTACAGTTTCTGTTTGCTGTTGAACTGGTTCTTCAAATTGTTATGGTGCCGGCCCCTCTGTTTTGGACTGCTTGAACGTCCCTACATATCAGAATTCTTCAGAGATCAATGGATCCCTTAATGGATTGTAAACTTCTTTTGTCTGAGTCTATTGAGGGACACAGCTCCCCTCATTTCCTTTCATACTGCTTACTATAACTGGCAGGTGTGAGGGGATATGCCCTTTAAAGTGGCAGGTTTTCAGTTTCTTTTGTTTGCCTAGTGTCCATTTCTCCTAGAGCACAGCCTAACCCTACATATCAGAATTATTCAGAGATGTGTCCCTCAATGGACTCAGAGAAAAGGATGTTACGGTAAGAACAAACTCGTCTTTTCCTGTACTGACAATAATCTGCATTATATTTTCTTCTTGTTTAGAAACACTTGGCAAGCACAGGAGAAGTGAACCCAGCTACTCAAGGCCTGTCTCTTCCTATTGGTGAGAGACTGTCAGGCAAGGTAGGCGTGTGATGCGGTTATGCTTCCTTATGTCAAGCATTGGATCCCTAGAGGTACTCCAGCAACTCCGAGGGTCTCATAACAGTATGTCTTGTCTCAGGCAAACTATGAACTTCTTGTCCTTGAGTAATGTTGGTAACTGATTGCCATTAGCACAATTTGCAGTTGTAATACAATTTCTGATAACCTTTAGGAATATAGTAACACAAACTCCTGTCTTATTTTTATATTACAAAATGAAAAAGTATGTCTTGTTAAAATGTGTGTCTAACATGCAGATAAGGTTGTGAGGATATGTCACCAGCACTCCAGAATGACAAGTGAGTCTCCATTTTTTAAGAGGTCACTCAAAGTAGGGTCAAGCGCTTTCGGGGCTGCGCAGGGTCCCCTTCATCAGGTTTAAAGTGAGCTTAAAGTTAACTTTAATCCTGAGTTAATGCGGCGCCATCCGCAGTCATTTCGAGCCCCCACTTTTACCTATGGGAATTCTGGTAAGGTGTGCTACAGGACCTTGGACAGTTGTAACATGCAGATAAAACCCTTACTATTAGTAAGATCAACAGAGGTGTTGATGGTGGTGGTCTTCATTACTATCTCCTCTTACTTTTAGTAAAACTGTACTGCTACCAACTTAGCTAACCAGCCAAACTGCTTCAACTGCTTTCAGTGTTTTAATCACTGCAATAATGTGGACTTGAGCTTAAAAAAAAATGAAGATTTGCTGTTAGAGAGAACATCTAGAAATGTTAATTTTGTTTAAGCAGTACCTTTAAAAAATATACCCTTTGTCTTGAATTCCTCCAGGAAAATAGAGCACTCCCTGGTGTGTGATTGTGCCTAGGCACTTCTGTGCTTACAACCTCATAGCTCTATATCTGCAGCAAAGGGAATCTATGTGGGTCCATTCACACCTATGCACTGCATCATCACAGGGAACAGTGTGAATTCGGGTTAAAGGATATCTAAACCTAAGATGAAAAATGAATATATTTCAGCTTGCCAGTCCTTAGAAGTGATGCACTAGTTTTAACTGTAACTGTAAGGCACATTGAGTAGAGGTAGTCATTTTCATTCTAAATGTATGCTTTGTTTGTAATGTAGTCAGATTTGTATGATCACACTCATACTATCCATGTGCTTAGGAAAGACTGCGCCACGAGAGAAACCGTGAATACAATCAGTTCCTTACGATGAAGGCGGACGAGCAGGAGACATACAGGCTTGCTGCAGCAGAAAAATATAATCAGGTAATCATGGTCATTAGATCTACAGATGCACAGATATAATCTACTTTATTGGAGCTCTACAAATAATTGATTATACTGACATCATTTTATTCTTTCTAAATGTATAATCATATAATTTCATGTTATTTTCCTGGATTATTTGCTTGTGTGGTAGGTTTCAATGTATAGTTACTCACAATAACCAATCAGTGTTCTTCTTTTTGGCTGGCTTTACACCCCTGCTGTAGACCTTCATGAGGGGGTCCATGAGATGAGGAGTTTGAGGGCCCCCTCTGTAACCTTCATTAAGGGGTTATTGAGCTAAGGAGTTTTAGGACCCCTGCTGTAGACATTCATGAAGGGGGAGGATGAGCTAATTTGTTTGGGGACCCCTGCTGTAAACAGTAATATCCAAAATTGACAGTAACCCGCCAGACTGAGCAACAATCATTTGCTTATAAGCATCTTTGAACTAACTAATATGTATAATATAAATTATTCTTTTCTGTTGTGAATTACAGAATAAAACACAAAGCAGGCTGAAGGCAGAGCAATACAAAGAAGCTCCAGTATCGCATAGAGATCAGGATCTTCCCAAGAAGGATGCTTACACCTCCATGGAGGCCTATGAACAGCTACTCAATAAAAGACGAGCTGAGACTCGGAGACCCAGACGACAGGACGTTGAAACTGAAACCGAGGACAAGTTTGTTCGGAGAGAAGAGGAAGATACCACCGTTTCACGTAAAAACCCTTGGAGGTCAGAAATGCATTCTGACAGAACAGATCGACCCCGATATGTTGATGAAGATTATGAAGCAGAAGGAAGACGTTTGAGATTAAATTTTGCTACTGATAGCAATGAACCTCTGAGTTATAGAGGGAGATATGATGGAGATGTGCATGACAGAAGACCAATAAGATACAACCCACCTCCTGAAAGGTATGCTAGAAATGTTTTCTTTTTTTGTAACAACACTTATAAAAAAAACAAAACAAACAAAGCTGCTAGCAAGTGCCCCCCATGCAAGCTCCCCCCATGCCAAGGTCCTAGGTGTCATCCTTGACTCGGACCTCACCTTTCTTCCCCACATCCAATCACTATCCAAATCCTGCCGCCTTCACCTTCGTAACATCTCCAAAATACGCCCCTTCCTCACCAAAGAAACCGCAAAATTACTCATCCACTCCCTTGTTATCTCTCGTCTTGACTATTGCTCCCTCCTCATTGGCCTACCTCTAAACAGGCTATCCCCCCTTCAGTCTATCATGAATGCAGCTGCTAGACTCATTCACCTAACCAACCGCTCAGTGTCTGCAACCCCCCCTCTGTCAATCCCTACACTGGCTTCCAATAGCCCAAAGGATCAAATTCAAAATAACAACCACTTACAAGGCCATCCACATCTCTGCCCTCAGCTATATCTCAAACCTTGTCTCAAAGTATCTCCCTAACCGTCCCCTCCGCTCTTCCAAAGACCTCCTGCTTTCCAGCTCCCTTGTCAACTCTTCCCATGCTCGCCTCCACGATTTCACTAGCGTCTCTCCCATCCTATGAAACTCTCTACCCCAACCTGTCCGTCTATCTCCCACACTGACTGCCTTTAGGCAATCCCTTAAGACTCATCTCTTCAGGGAAGCCTTATCCCACCACAACCTAACCACTGAACTATCCCTTTCTCAAACAATTCATCCCCACACAGCCACCTCCTCATGTATCACTTGCCCCTCCCTTTTAGATTGTAAGCCCTCAGGGGCAGGGCCCTCCTTATCATCTTGTCTTGTATTGTAATGTCTTTCTTATATTGTAAAGCACTGCTCAAACTGTTGGCGCTATATAAATCCTATATAACAATAATAAGTGTAAATGCAGGTACCCACAGCAGCATGGGAAAAGCTTTGACACCTACAGGTAGTGTCCGAGCTTCTTGTTCCCTCCTGTTGCTCCCCAGCTCCTGTTTAGCCACAGCCTAAAGTCCCAGTAATTATTCAAATTTGTTTTAAGTTGCAAGATGTCTTCAAGTATACCTAAAGCCAAAATATTTTTGATAGAGTAGGGAGAGGCTAAAATCCATGCTGCTAGGTTATTTTGTCATCTGTGAAATCTCTTCAAGTTAGGGAAATACTTTCTTAGTTGTCACTTAAACAGGTGTCTCAATTTAAAGAATTCCCATCTATTACTTTTCTGTTGGATTTCCCATCACTTTGTGCCCCTGTGATAGTGGTCGCCAGGACACATAAAGGGTTGAATCCTCTTAAAGGCGACTCAGATAGTAGCATTTTAAATCGGACCTTCCACATATTGAACGAATCATCTTTGATTGTCATCCTAATTCCCCCTTCACAGAAGCTATGTAAAAGCAAAACGGCATCATTTATTTAATACAGCACTACCTTTGATCATATTTCGGCTTGCCAGGCCTTTTGTTTAGCCACTGATGAAGTAGTCAGTGCCTTCCCACAGCCTGTTGGGAAGATCAAGGCACTAGAGGCTGCAAGCAGATATCAGGAATGTAATAGCAAAATCTCTATCGCCAAACTAATGCTAATTTAATTGTAGATGCACAGAGATGCATACAAATTATATATGTGCATTTTTCTGTGTGTACAATCGAAATCTTGTGAGATTATACATGCAGAGAGATCCACCTCTCTGCATGTACAATCAAAAGTCAGTATGATTGGTGAAAGCCTGTGAGGTTTAGTTATTTCATGTTTGAGACCTGCCTGTAGCCTCTAGGGACATATATTTTCAGAAATGGAGATTAGAATGACAAAGAAGATTTGTTCAATTTGGGGTAAAATGTACGCTTTAATGAGGTACTCATCACTGCTTTCATCTTAATTACCTGAAATGCACTTCTCCTTTTTCTTGCATTCCTTCATTAATTTACTCCTTTTACTATGCATTTTTCTTCTGTTTTTTTTATTTTAAAAGAGAACTATGGGGTAACCTTTTTATCCCATAGTTTTCATTAGGGTCATTCGAGGACATATACTAACATCCTCCCATGACTCAAATCTCAGTGGCTTTGCTGCCAGGACGGATCTCAACAGTATTGTTGGGATCCGCCCTGGCTGTGATGCTCTCGGCTTATAGCGGGCAAAAGCCTCTGGTCTAGGGGAATCCCGGCGGCTAGCGGTGACTGTCACCGCTATCTGCAGGGGGATGATTGGGAAGTGAGCGAGCGGTGGTATGTATTCTCTCACTTCCTGATCAATAGAGCCAACGTGTGACAGTTTCCATATCGCACGTCGGTGTGACTCACTCACCCCATAGTTCTCCTATAAATAGGTGACTGTTTGATACCCCGTTTTATTTCTTTTATTTCTTTGTGTCCATTCTTTTGTAATGACTCTTAAGAAAACATTAATTTATTTTGTCCCCTAACTGCAAGAATGAACTCCATCAAAGTTTAATATATTCTTCAGCAAAATAAATAACCTTGCAAAAAAGTGATTAAAGTGACATTAAGGGCAAACGTCCCCCCCCCCCCCCCCCAAAACACACACAGTGCTAATGTA